TAAGAGAAGGCCTTCGAGTAGCTTATTAAGGGCGGTTAACTAGGCGTAAGCGCCTAGAAGAAATACTAGAAACTAAGGGTAAGTAAAGAGGTAATCTTAGGAGTAATATCGATAGAGTCTTTAGGGATAAAGGATTAAATATTTCTATAGCTATACTAGCTTATAATAATATATTCGTTCTCTTATAGAGTACTAGATAATCTTCCTCGTCGTCTAGTATAAGGACGTTCCCGGAAAGGTCTTCGTTAATATAGGAAAGAATATTATCGAGATAGATTAGTAGACTTAGTGTAGCCGCCGGTGCCGCTTCCGATAGAGGCCTAGTAGCTTCCTATACTATCTCTCCTAGAAATTAAAGAGCCGGCCGCTATAAGAATATTTAATAGTAAGGTACTCTAAGATAATAATAAGGGCTAGTAGCTTACTTAAGAGACTAAAGGATAACTATTATCTCGCTAGAGCCTTACTCGTTAACGATGTCGACGGGCTTTATCCGCCTACTTAGAGGAATTATACTTTCGAGGTCGACCTCTAGCTATATTAAAATAGAATATAAACTAAGAAGAAGTACTTATAAGTAGAAGGTAGGACTAGGGACGAGAAGGTCGTTAACTTAGGTATAAGCGTAAGTTAGGATAGAGTATTTCTTATCCGATATTTAAGAGGTAGCTAATTACTAGGAATATATATCTTAAATATAAGAAGCTAAGATAAAATAAAGTAGCGTACCCTAGTTAGAGATACTATTATTAAGAAGAAAAGGATACTCTCGTCTATAATAAAAGAGCTAACTTTCTATATTAGTATTACTACTTCTACTCTACCTACTCCGCCTATATCTTTAGATTAAATTTAATTCGATAAGCGAATTAAATTTAATCTAAGTACCCTTTAAACCTAGCGAACCTACTTACCCTTACTACGGACTCGAGTTCTTTCCTCGTACGCTACGACTATATTAACGTTAGAATAGAGGAAGCTAACTCTCTAGTATATTTATATAGAAGTAAGTTATAGTATAATAACTTTAGTAGTAGTAGCTATATAAGACTAGAGGGGGTAGTATTCTATACTTATATAGATAGATATAGTTAGTTTAACTCGCTAGAAACTTAATTAGGACTAGTTAGAACTAGGGTAGATAAATATAATTAGATAAACTCTCTAAAAATTTAATTAGGACTAGTTTAAGCCTAGGGTAGATAAAGGTAATTAAAGTAACTCTCTAAAAATTTAAAAATAGTTTAGCGTTACTTAAAATCTCTTAGCGGTCTTCGATAGACCTCGATGTTCCTAAACTTTAGGATACTATTATAATACGAATATAGAGGTAGTATAGGAATAAACTATATTACGGTACTTAGGAAGGTAAGCTCTATCTACTAGCCTAATAATACTTAGAAATATTAAATATTTTAGTACTATATTTAAAGTGTAAACTATCCTATAGAGTAAAATATTCTTTAAGTAGTATCTTACTTCTAACGCCTTACTTCTACGCTATACTATATCCTACGGCTAACCTTATGCTCTCCCCTTACATTAACCGTAATACTTCCTAAATTACTATATCCTATACCGTAATCGTATTCGTTATATCCTTATCGTATATACGCCTTACTCGTCCTAACTATCGCCGATACGGTTACTATTTATACTAGTCGTTGTTATCCGCGTATATACCCGTAAATCTAAATACGGAACGAACCTTATCTCGCTATATCGCGTCCCCCTTAATCTAATATAATAACGGTACTACCTAATCTCTCTATTTATAACCTAGCTTACTCTACCCTTATAACCTATGCTCTCGGTCCTATATACTACGATATACGCTCTACGGTAACGTATACTCCTAGTAGTAGTTAAACTCGCCGAAATCTAACCCTATTCGCTATATTTTTAATTTCTTTACGTTAATACGCGGATATACTTATATATCGTGTATAACCTTTATATACTATATTACTATTCGTCTATTCCGTACTTACTATACGTAGTATACGGGACAATAATTACTAGCCTCTATTAACTACTACCGCTACTCCTTTAACCGTATATACTTCTCGCGAATATACTCCCGAAACTAATTCGAATATAGTATCTACGATCTATTACTTAACGTTAAATTACTCCTAGTCTTACTTTTATCCTTATCTTTATCGTCTTCGTCTCTATCTTTAGTACTATCCTCTTTATCCTCGCTATCGCTCTCTTTATCTTCTACCTCTTCGACTCTATCGTTCTCTTTCTCTACACCGTCTCTCATCGCCTTATCCTCCTACCTCGTATACTTAACTCGATATTAATTATATAACTCCGCCTATAGCTATTTATAGTCTATACCTACTTCTACTAGCCTAACATCCATAAATATACCTACGGCCACACGTCGACAACCGGCGCTCTCTATAAACTATTCCATCGCTTAATAATTTAAATATTCTACGTCACTACGATGTTTACCTATCCACGCCTTCCGCTAATCCATTATTACTACGGATTCCACTACTTCGCCGGCTTATCGCCCACCTCGACCTATCTACTATACGAAATCCACTAACCCGTACGGCTATTCCATATATACTACCGCTACGATGCCGGGAATATCTACTCCCGTACCTAACCCCGTTATCGCTACGATCCATCGGTTCTCTCTATCGCTACGTGTCCATCGCTATAGTATCGCTTAACGCTTACTCTTATCTACGATACTACTATAATAATACGTACACTCTAGCTTAACGGCTAGCGCTTTATAACTCGTGCGTAATCGTATATACACTACGCCTTTCTATATACCGGACATCTACTTCTCTAACCGCAATACGACACGGACTACCTCGTCTTCCACCTCTACGCGGACCCCTCCCGCCGTCTTCTTACCGCTACTCGTTACGCGCACCACGTTATATCGAATATTACGTTTAACCGTGTACGCTCGAATAATTACGCTATTTCTTATTAACATCGTTATCTAAAACTACGGCACTATCGTACCCGGGAGCGTCGCGGTTAACGCGATTACGAGACATCTATACCGGTAGATACCTTTAATCTAATCTAGCTTCTTACGGTATAAGACATCTATAATTACGGTGTACGCCTCGTCCACGAAAATCCGTCGTAATAACTTATGATCGCGTAGACTACCTATATAGTCGCGAAACTATTCGACCTCTTCTATATCCGTACTCGCTACTATTAGCCGCGCTACGCGCATCGGTAGCTCTCACCCCTATAGTCGACCGAGCCGCCAACGAATATAATCGATATCGCTCTTATATACTCGTATTACTAAATTATCTATTAATACGGTAAACGGTACGATTACCGCGGTTATACCCTATACTTCTACTAACGGCGGTAATATAAATAGTATACTTTTGCCCGCTCTAGTCGATAATACTACGGTTAGTAACTTATCTACCTATATTACTATAATCTTCTCTATTACTTCGCCTTACTCGAGCATCCGCTATATTACCGATCGCCTAACTAGACGCTTTAATCTACGCGGAATATCCTTAAGTAATTTACTATATAACGACTTATACTTTACCCGCTTTAAACGCGGTAGCGGTAACGATATCGAAGTACTCTCGACTTCTTCTTCTATATATATACGGCTCCTCTTACGATACCGTACGGATAATAATATACTTATCGTTACGGTCTACGTTACTATCGTAGTCGATATACCCTTCTTATATTCCTTCTTAGTTTTCGTCGACTCCTTCTTACTACGACGTCCTTCTAAAAATCGATGCTATAGCCGACTAATCTCTTAAAATTTTATTAGCTTCTCCGGCTATATACGACTCGGGAAACGGCTATTAATTATATAGTAATCCGTCGCGATAATACTACTATACGTTAACTACGCGTCCTAAATCTACTCCTACTTCGGCCCGGATATCGCGGTCTCCTCGGGCCCTTCGACCTCCTTACCCTCGCCTTCCTCGATTTCTACCTCTATTCGTCGTACTACGATCCCCTTAATAACGCGCGCGAACCTAATCGCTATATACCGGTAATTACTTACTATTACTTCTACTCCTAAGTATTCGCCCGTAAGCGCGGCTAGTTCGTCGCTTAGTTACGCGGTATCCTATACTCCGCAACGCGCATCCTTCTATATATATAACTATAGCGATTTATTCGGTCCCGTTACGCCGCTTATATCGTAAATAAACTCCTTAAACGATATAAGCTATACAATATATACTACTACTATACGACTAATCCGCTCGGGCAAAAAGCGAGCGACCTTACGACTTAAGCTACGGATTAATCGGTTCTTATTACGGTTAATAATAAGTATAACTCTACCGTCGAATACGAATATATTACGGATAAGCTACTACGTATTATAGAACTTTAGCGTCGCTATCTCCGGCCCTCGACCCGGCTACCCACCCTAGATATATATAATCGCTATTAATAGCCGCTTAAACGCTTTAAACCGTCGTATCTACGCCTTAACCTTCGCGACCCGGAGTTTTAACCCTCCTTAAGACGGCTATATCGTTACTCGTGCTCGTTTAGCGATAAAGCGAAAGCTAGCTTATAACTACGCGTTACGCGGCTCCGTTACGAACGAATATCCCGTGCCTTCGAATAAAATACTATCCTAAATACGCCGGAGATCGATTATCTTAGCTACCGTTACCTAGTTATTATAGACTAATAGATTTAGTATCGCCTCGGCCTCGTTAACCGCCTCCTATACTATCGTCGTAAAACTATCTACGTAAATTAACTAATTTAAGTATCGTATAACCTATCTATTCTACTCCTATAGTACCTTCGGCGCGCCTCCTTCTTTCGTACGGAAGCCCTTACTATATACTATCTACGTAATTAGTATACTTATCGAACTATACGAGCCGCCTACTAACTAGCGATATTATACCTCTTAAAATCCCTCTACTATCTCTATTATTATCTTATTCGGGTCCGCGGGACTATCGCGAAATACTTCTTCTAGTAGTAATATTCGTTTATACTACACTAGTCCCGCTAACGACTCGATATAATACTTCGGCTTACTTTAACTTCTACGAGTATCGTTAATCTCTAGTACCGCGGTAAAGAAGAGTAACGAATTCTCGTACTAGTTAACTAATACTCGCTATTATAGTATCGCGATATAGTACGCGAATACTACCTCGTCGAGAGCCTACTACCTCTCCCTATCTTCTTCGTCCTTATCGTTATCTTTATTCTACTTCCTTGTATTACTAAACTAACCGAGCGCCGCCTCGATCCGCTATAGCTACTCCTACTACGTATTAGTCTATCGAATTCCGTATAACTATCGGGACGCCTTACGCCCTAAGCGTCCTACGCGAGCATAGTATAATAGATATCGTTTAATAAATTATCGATACCGGTATATCGACTTCTCGTTCTACTTTAGTTTAAACGGCCGCCCGGCGGGTTTTATCGGATTAATGCTATTAAGCTAGAGTAGTAATTTATACGGCACTAACTTTAATCGCGCGGTATATCGCTGCATTACGCGATCGAAGCTCTCTACTAGTCGTATTAAGAGCGGATCGACTTCTCCTAACGATTCATTCGTTCGACGGTAAGCGGGTGTACGTACTCCCTTATATCGCGCTATTAATCCGGTGAGATAGATAACCCGCTTATCTTTACCGTTAAAAAGCGCAGCCTAACCTATATATTGCACCTAGCGCGATTAATTTTCTATACCTATCGGGTTATCCGCGATCTATCGTCGTTCCTACTACTATATATTATACTTTTCTTTATATATACGTAATATTAACCGAAACGGGTCGTCCGTGTCTACTAGAGACTTACTATATTCGGCTTTACTACCCGGACCTTACTCGTTACGGACGATCTAGTACCGAGCGTAACCTCCCCGCGAAAATATCTATACCTTAACGGTATATTAAAGAGCGTAACGGTAATCCCCGTATCGATTCTAACTAGTGTACCTTTACTACTCCTTTTTATTTACCGTTAGATACTTATAGTCGGGGTAGCTAAATCCGGGTAACGAATAACCGAGCTCGGGAATTACTCGAGTTCTACGAGACGGTAAGTCGATATAACGCGGATTACGGACGTCTAATATCGAGATGTAGTATAGTAATACTTATAATAACTTCCTATAAAGCTAATACCGTTACCTCTAATAAGTTTTATATCTAGCTCCGAGTCGCACCGCGGCCTAATACTCGAGATAGATAATAACGCGATATAATACTAGATACGAGATCTACGGCGGTACCGGTATACTTACTATAATAATTAATATTTATATATATATTAAGTTTAAAAAATACGTAGTACTTAGATATAAATTACTTTAAATCTAGATAAGTAAGCTATTACGCGACTCGAAGTAAGAGCCTCTCCTAAGATAAACTAGCCTTATCGATTTCTTACTAATTACGGTTTAGTACAACACGCCTATAACGCGAGTCCTCGTATAACTCCTAAAAATCCGCTAAGATTACCGAGACTACCTTAAATTCTACGGGATAAAGACTAAGTCGACGGCGATACTACTAATCTACGCGATTATAACTTAAAAATATAATAAATAAATTTATATAGTTATATTTTCTATTTAAACACTATAAAATAAGAAGACTACCCTAGTAGCGACCCGTAGCGGCCTAACCCTAGATAACTCTAAGTAACCCTAGCCGGGGGATTTTAGCTAATTAGCGTGTACTGGATTATATAAATAAGGGATTACATAAATAAATTTAGGGTTATATAATTTATATAGTAGATACGGTGTAAATATCGTGTTAATAATAGTTAGGAATTATATAAATAGATTTAGGGTTATATAATTTATATAGTGGATACGGTGTAAACACCGTATTAATAATAGTTAGGGATTATATAAATAGGTTTAGGGTTATATAATTTATATAGTGGATGCGGTGTAAATACCGTATTAATAATAGTTAGGGTATCCGCTATATTACCGACCGCCCGACTAACTACTCTAGTCCGCGGGAAATATCCTCGAGTAATATACTATATAATAACTTATACTTTACCTACCTTAAACGCGGTAATAATAATAATATCGTCGTATCCTCGACCTCTCCTAATACGTATATACGCTTCCTCTTACGGTAACGCGCGAATAATAATATCTCGGTCGCTACTATCTTCGTCTTTATTATAGTTAACGGGCCCTTCTTAATATTATTAATAGCTTTCGTCGACTTCTACGTACTACGACGCCCTTCTAGAAAGCGATACTATAGTCGACTAATCTCCTAAAATTTTATTAGCTTCTTCGGCTATATACGACTCGGGAAACGGCTATCGATTACGTAGTAATCCGCCGCGATAATACTACTATATATTAACTACGCGTCCTAAATCTACTTCTATTTCGGGCCTAATATCGCGGCCTCCTCGAAGCTATCTACTTCCTCCCCTTTACCTTCCTCGATCTCTACCTCTATTCGTTAAACTATAATTCCCTTAATAACGCGGGCGAACTTAATTACTATATACCGATAATCGCTTACTATTACTTCTACTTCTATATACTCGCTAGTAAGCGTAGCTAATCTATCGCTTAATTACGCGGTATTCTAAGTACTACGACGCGTATCCTTCTATATATATAACTATAGCGATTTATTCGGTCTCGCTACGCCGCTTATATTATAAATAAACTCCTCGAACGATATAAGCTATATAATATATACTACTACTATACGACTAATACGCTCGGAGAAAAAGCGGACGACCCTACGACCTAAGCCGCGGATTAATCGATTCTTATCGCGGTCGATAATAAGTATTACCGCGCCGTTAAAGATAAATATATTACGTATAAGCTACTATATATTATAGTACTTTAGCGTCGTTATCTTCGGCCCGCGACCCGACTATCTACCCTAGATATATATAATAACTATAAGTAGTCGCTTAAACGTCTTAAATCGTCGTATCTACGCCTTAACCTTCGCGACCCGCGGTTCTAATCCTCCTTAAGACGGCTATATTATTACCTATACTC